GAGAGAGGCGAGGCGAGAGAGAGGAGAGAGGGAGAAGAGAGGAGAGAGAGAGAGAGAGAGAGAGGAGAGAGAGAGGAGAGAGAGAGAGAGAGAGACGAGAGAGAGAGAGAGAGAGATTTTGAGAGAGAGAGAGAGGCGAGAGAGAGAGATCAGTGTGTCTGCATATTCAGGTGTGGGTTTGGATTGGGGGTAGGGGGGCATGTGGGATTAGGAGGGGGGGATGGGGATGTGGGGGTTGGAGGGGGGGGTGTCAGCTTACATTGGAGGGGTGGTAACTTGAGACCAAAGGGGCTGGTCACACGTCCTCATCTCAAGCCCTCACTCAGCTCAAATAACCAGTCTGACCTTTTTTTTTATTTCTTTGACCTTGTCCCACGTATGGAAGTTATATTCAGGGGCAGGACCCCTGCCTGAATATAATATATATTTATATATATATAATATATATAGATATATATATATATATATATATATATATTATATATATATATATTTGTGGACTGGTCTCTTCATACACTATGCCAACCAAGACAGTTTAGTGTCAACAACCAGTGACAAGTCCCGTTCATAATTGGAGTCGAAAGCTATGTTCGGAGCCTTCAACCATCTGATTATAGTGATTACAGTGAAAAAAACTGGAAACAGAAAGGGAATTATATGGATATTATAGAAATAAATGGGTAAAACAAATCAGCTGGATCATACATTAAACTATTTCAAACAGAACTCCTAATTTAAAAATGATGAGATCAAATTAATGAGCAAACACCTAGCTATTTTATCGACTGTATAAAACCTCCAGGTGCAATGGTTTAAGATTTCACTGGGCATGAGAATAAATTATACTAGAGCATAGAAAACGAGGACAATCTTGCGCCAGACATCACATCTTTCTTGGAGACTTCTCAAAATCTTGTGCCAGACATTATTCTCCTCTTCGGAGGTTTCAAAACTCCTTTCCAGACATTTGCTTCCTTGGGTCATTTCAGTAAATTAAACCACTCGAAGTTAAAACCCTCCTGGAGACCTCCCCTCTCCAGTGAGGGAAGAGCTTACATAAAAATTCTAAAGATTACACAAAAATGGCCGTTATCCCCGTCAAAACTTTAGGCTTTCACGTTTGCCTCAGACAGCTTAATTAAGATGTCTTTGGAGGTACTTTAAGGCTGCCGACGCCTTACCTACAGCTGTGGCACTTTGTTTACTAAGTCGGTGGCATTCAGGTATCTTCAAAACGTCAAGCTTCCTTAAGCTATCTTAACCAAACGTCAAGCTTCCCTAGGCTATCTTAGCCAAACGTTAAGCTTCCCTAGGCTATCTTACCCAAACGTCAAGCTTCCCTAGGCTATCTTAGCCAAACGTCTAGCTTCCCTAGGCTATCTTAGCCAAACGTCAAGCTTCCCTAGGCTATCTTAGCCAAACGTCAAGCTTCCCTAGGCTATCTTAGCCAAACGTCAAGCTTCCCTAGGCTATCTTAGCCAAACGTCTAGTTTCCCTAGGCTATCTTAGCCAAACGTCTAGCTTCCCTAGGCTATCTTAGCCAAACGTCAAGCTTCCCTAGGCTATCTTAGCCAAACGTCAAGCTTCCCTAGGCTATCTTAGCCAAACGTCAAGCTTCCCTAGGCTATCTTAGCCAAACGTGAAATAAAATTTTAGAGGGAATAATACCCATTTTCTATACTTTGGAGCCATCAGCAATCCGAAAACAATACTTACTCTCCAGGAACAAACCAAAAAAATTGTTGCATATTACAATCACTGAAATTGTCAGTTTAGTGCAGAATATTACATCGATTAAAAATTAATCGTTTGATAATTTTTTTGTCCACTTCTTTGCAGCAGCGTTAAAGCAGGTTGAAAAAGACATAAAATATAAAATGTTAGTTGGAAAAACGCACTCTGACGTAAAAGATGCCTCGAAAAATGCACCCCTTACATAAAAGATTTGTTGTGAAAAACACTAAAAAATTAAGATTTTGAAAAAAAAGGAAGTTGAAAAAAACACATTCTAACATTTGAAGTTGTTTTGTAAAGCCTATTTTTATATAAGAGTACTTGGGATTTATTGGTGCTTCCTCTTGCCCCCCCCCCCTACTCTCTCTCTCTCTTCTCTCTCTCTCTCATCTCTCTCTCTTCTCTCTCTCTCTCTCTCTCTCTCTCTTCTCTCTCTCTCTCTCCATACAGCCATCGTTACAATATTGGGAGCAACACATTGAGGGACCTCCAACATAAACTATATTATCCTGTCAAAGCCAGGAGTATGACAAATACACACACACACACACAATACAATAATATCATATATATACCACACATCACATATAAATATAATATAATATATATATATATATATATATATATATATATATATGTCGTACCTAGTAGCCAGAACTCACTTTTTGGCCTACTATGCAAGGCCCGATTTGCCTAATAAGCCAAGTTTTCATGAATAATATATTTTCTCTAATTTTTTCTTATGAAATGATAAAGCTACCCATTTCATTATGTATGAGGTCAAATTTTTTTTATTGGAGTTAAAATTAACGTAGATATATGACACGCCCGAACCTAAACCAACCCTACCTAACCTAACCTAACCTATCTTTATAGGTTAGGTTAGGTTAGGTAGCCGAAAAAGGTAGGTAGGTTAGGTTAGGTTAGGTAGGTTAGGTAGTCGAAAAACAATTAATTCATGAAAACTTGGCTTATTAGGCAAATTGGGCCTTGCATAGTAGGCTGAGAAGTGAGTTCTGGCTACTAGGTAGTAGGACGATATATATATATATATATATATATATATATATATATATATATACACACAAAACATATTTCGTTGAAAACGACGACAAAGTTTTAGATTTATGATTCTGGCACGAATCTTCTCGATATTCCTTATCTTTTCTTTACTGAAGCAGCAGGAAGTTGAAAAATTAACTCTCCAAAGTTCATTTTTACTTTTTTTTTTTTGGGGGTGGGGGGGGGTGGTTTCTGGTTTTTCAACTTCCTGCTTCAGTGAAGAAAAAACATAAAGAATATCGAGAAGATTTGTGAAAGAATCATAAACCAAAAACTTTCTGTTTTAGGTCAATTTTAGGTTTTACAATTCTAGTCAGGATTGCTTTCCACTCTTGTAAACCACACATTAATCACACTAAGTACAAAATGTCCCTCGAACACTGTTTATGTGGGACAGACGTAAATCTTGGTATGTAGGTTAGCTTAGTAATTGGGGGTACAATCACTTTACGATTGTAAAGCGGTACAATCACTTTATGTGCTTGATCGTTCAATAAATTACTGAACTATATGTTTAACACATCGCTAACAGATCTTTAACCACTCTCTTCCTTCATACAAGGAGCCCGGCATACAGGAGGAGGAGGAGGAGGAGAGAGAAGAAGAGAGAAGGAGAAGAGAGGAGTGGAACAGGAATGGGAAGGAGTAGAATCACTAACAAACATTCACCTGTCTCACTTATGGAAGGGTATGTCAAAATATGAAAGTTTTTATCAAGGCATATTGTTGATAAGCCACAAGTGATATTGTGAATATCACGGCTGTTTACCACGTTGAAATGCAACATTGAAATCGATTACAGATAAAGGGAGATGATCATATCTTGACGTTGCACGATGTTGCAATAGGCAGAGGGGGAGGAATATTGTGCAGTTCAGTCCCCTCTCCTACACTAGAGTGAAGGGAGGTCTTACATAAAGGTACATTCTTACCAGAGCTCCACCAACTCCCTACCAATGGAGTATAACCATGGTAGGGAGATGGACTATATCTATAATACTATATCCGTTTAAAGGCATTTTGACAATCAGAAAGATGCAGTCTATACATTTCTTGAGGTTATCTTGAGATGATTTCGGGGCTTTTTAGTGTCCCGGCGGCCCGGTCCTCGACCAGGCCTCCACTCCCAGGAAGCAGCCCGTGACAGCTGACTAACACCCAGGTACCTATTTTACTGCTAGGTAACAGGGGCATAGGGTGAAAGAAACTCTGCCCATTGTTTCTCGCCGACGCCTGGGATCGAACCCAGGACCACAGGATCACAAGTCCAGCGTGCTGTCCGCTCGGCCGACCGGCTCCCAATACATCCTTAATATATATATATATATTTTCCCCCTACCTGCTGTCCTGTTTCCAAGTTTATCCTCTCCAGGTGTTCAATTATTCTCAGCCTGATTACTTTCTCAAACACTTTAAGATTAAGAGTCAGTTCATGTCAGTGACATTGGTCTATAATCTAGCGCCGCTTCTCTGTCTCCGGTTTGTTAATATTGGTAATAAATTGGGGGTTTTTCCTGGATTTACGGGAGGTCTCCTGTCTTGGGTGTTTTATTGACAACTTTGGTGAGCGAATGATGAAGTTCCTTTGGAGTCTCGATCGAGGGTTATGGTGTGGGTGGTGATATAGTGGTGATGGTGAGTCGAGGGTGCTTTATGATAATAGAAGAACGTGTATGGTGACGTGAGGAAATTTGATGGTGAGAACAAACGCGTTGATGGTGACAATACACGTTTTTTTTTTGTGGTGATACAGTGTGGGTTTGGGTGGGTGGGTTTTGGCTGGCTGGCTGGCTGGTTGGCTGGCTGGCTGGCTGGCTGGCTGGCTGGCTGGCTGGTGGCTGGCTGGCTGGTTGGCTGGCTGGTTGGCTGGCTGGCTGGCTGGCTGGCTGGCTGGCTGGCTGGTTGGCTGGTTGGCTGGCTGGCTGGTTGGCTGGCTGGTTGGCTGGCTGGCTGATTGATAGACTGACTGGCTGCTTGGCTGACTACTAAGTTTCAAGTTGACTGGCTGGCTGGCTGATTGACTGAGTGGCTGGCTGGGTGCAACGATGGCTGACTTACTGGGAGCTACGCCAACATATTCATACGTTAATAGTGACACTCCGTCACTTTCCTGTCAGAGAGTTTTCCCTCTATAGAGTAAGTTTACCTGAACTCTATAAGTGTTCTACCTGTGTACCCCCCCCTTCCCCTCCCCCCTCACCTGCCTCACCCAAATGTACTCCACCCACACGCACCCCACCCACACATACACCACCCACACCCACCCCACACATTACCCCTTCTTACCACATACATTCACAGCCCCCAGAAAAATCCCCCCCAACAACCAACACCCCCATACACCGACCTCTCACTCCAAACGCTCCCCATACACACCTCTCCCATATATATGGATTAAGTTCGTATGAAGGCTTGCTCTGTCGTACGAGACATTCACGGGCCCACTACAACCCCTGCTGCCAGGGGCATTTCGCTCTGAGTAAGCAGTCTCCGTGGTGTAGTGGTAAGACACTCGCCTGGCGTTCCGCGAGCGCTATGTCATGGGTTCGTATCCTGGCCGGGGAGGATTTACTGGGCGCAATTCCTTAACTGTAGCCTCTGTTAACGCAACAGTAAAATGTGTACTTGGATGAAAAAAACGATTCTTCGCGGCAGGGGATCGTATTCCAGGGACCATAGGATTAAGGACTTGCCCGAAACGCTACGCGTACTAGTGGCTGTACAAGAATGTAACAACTCTTGTATATATCTCAAAAAAAAAAAAAAAAAAAAAAACCCGTCCTCGACTCAAGTCCATTACACCCAGCGGTCGACCCCACAGACGCATTCATAAATTTTTACATGCTGCTCATTCAAAACGGGAATTTTCTCAAATATAAATTAATATTATAATATATTAGCATATTGTGCATATATAGGTTAGGTTAGGTTAGGTGTTTAGGTTCTGTTGGCGATTATTTGTATTTGTAGTACGTGGGTGAAGCATTTACAGCGTTGTGGTTCGAACAAAATTCGTCAGTGAAGCACTTGTTCCGGATATGTTCGAACGTCAGCAGTTGTGAGTCGTGTGTAAACCGTTTTTCATTCATAAACAGGGGGTTTGGCGGTACATGGAATCACTTTTGGATCTTTGTTTGGAGGACGGACTGGCCAACCCCCTACACATGACTCACAACTGTTGACTCAACTGTTCGAACACTTCCGGAACAAGTGCTTCACTGACGAATTTTGTTCGAACCACAACGCTGTAAATGCTTCACCCACGTACTACAAATACAAATAATCGCCAACAGAACCTAAACACCTAACTTAACCTAACCTATGCCTAAATATGTACAATATGCTAATATATTATAATATAAATTTATATTTGAGGGAAAATTCCCATTTTGAATGAACAGCATGTTAAAAACTTGATGAATGCGTCCTTCCTTGGGTCGACCGCTGGATGGAATGGACTTGGTCTGAGGACGGGTTGTGTAGCACGATGAAGCATTTTATCAACGTGGGGCCTTGGTCTCGGGGGCTGTGAGCACAGTTCTCCGGCAACAACCGTTCTCTGTCCTTCACAAGAGCCCGACCAGTTAGCAAATGATCTTTTGCCGCAACTGAGATAAATGCGGATATCAAAGGTGAGTAAATATGTCGATGTTCCTGTGAGTTTTTGACACCTGGGCCCAATCTTCAGTGTGTGGGCATTAAGGTGCCTTGTCAAAGATAAGGATGAGAGATGCTAGAAGGCAGAGGTGAGACAGTCTAGTAAATACTGGTTGAGAGACATTCTGAGAGAGAGAGAGAGAGAGAAGCACTTGCACCATCCATCAGCAAGGACACAGGTGGGAGAGATAGAAAGGGCTGAGTATTAGCTCCATGTTGCCTTTCAACCGAATCACCTTTCACTCGTCAGGTGAGAGAGAGAATGAGAAAAAGAGAGTGAGAGGGAGAGAGAGAGAATGAGAGAAAGAGAGTGAGAGGGAGAGAGAATGAGAGAGAGTGAGAGGGAGAGAGAGAGAGAATGAGAGAAAGAGAGTGAGAGAGAATGAGAGAAAGAGAGTGAGAGGGAGAGAGAGAGAGAATGAGAGAAAGAGAGTGAGAGGGAGAGAGAATGAGAGAAAGAGAGTGAGAGGGAGAGAGAGAGAGAGAGAGAGAGAGGAGTTGGGGGTGAGGGGACGCATCACATACCCCATCCTGTATACATGGAATATCCACCATATTGGGGGAGCAGGGACAGGTCACCAGTATATATATATGCAGCTGAATTGTGTCACTCCTCTATCGGTTCAATTTTGTCACCCCCTCCAAGCAGCTGCACAAGCATGGGTTAAGTGGTGCTCCACGAAGGTACACAGTGCAGCTGCAGGCGATGAGTCACAATAACGTGGCTGAAGTATGTTGACCAGACCACACACTAGAAATTGAAGGGACGACGACGTTTCGGTCCGTCCTGGACCATTCTCAAGTCGATCAATCAATACACAGTGCAGCTGTAAATCTCTGTGGAAGTCTTTGTTTAGCTAGCTTGTACCTTAGACCTGCGTGTCTGACTTATGTCGAAACCTTTCGACACATCTCTGAGCCCTATATTATATTTATATATTATTTTCCCGTGTTGTCTATTGAAGAGCCTTTACCTGTCCGGGGTGTCATTTTGTCGACTATTTTTGCCGACAAAATGACACCCCGGACAATTACAGCCAGGTAGACGCCCATTACAAATAGGAAATTACAGACTAAATCTATTTGTAATCCCTATTTGTAACGAGGGTCTACCTGGCTCTGGGATTTGTTCTGTTTGTAGCATTTTTTTGTTTTGTTTTTGTTAAGTTGATGGGGAAAATAGTCCGGATGTCCGAACTGTACTTAATATTGTACTGTACTATACTGTACTGTACTATACTTAAGGGATTGTCATCACTTGAAGGGGGTTGTCAACACCTTTATTATGGTAATGTTAGTTGCGTTGTTCTTAAGACCTCTTAATTGTTCTTTTGCAACGTCTTCGATGGTTGAGTGGTTCGTGTTAAGGGCTGTTAAGTGGCCCTGGTAGCAATGTTTCAGCTTTTATTGACGACTAGATTTATCATTTATCTTTCTGTGTTGGGACAATAGATAATATCTTCACGGTTTTTTCCAAAATATATTTTCTCTGAGGGAAAGAGGGGGTGATGGGAGTGACGGGTGATGGGAGTGACGGGTGATGGGAGTGACAGAGTGACGGGTGATGGGAGTGACGGAGTGACGGGTGATGGGAGAAAGCAAGTGAGGGAAGGTCTCCCTCTCTTTCCTTTCCCCCGTCTCCTCTTTCGATTCATCTCCCCCTTCCCATTTCTCTACCGTCCTGTCACCTGCCCCTCCCATTTCCTCAATGCTCTTTCCTCTCTCTCCTCACCTCCTCCTCCTCCTGTCTTAGCTGCTGCTACAGCTGCCAGCAGGTGTCAACAGAGGACGACCAGATGTCGTCAAATGTCAGCAGTACAGTATGTGTGTGTGTTTACATCCAGCAATGTCAGCATATGGTGTCAGCATGTGTCAGCCCATTTGCCCTATACAAAGCGGTGTCAGCAGATATCAACCCACAGCGGTGTTGGCAGATGTTGTCTACATTTCCTCCCCCCAGTGGGATGAAATCAGCAGATGTTGTCAGCAGATATCTGCACTCAGTGGTGTCAGCAGATATCTGCACTCAGTGGTGTCAGCAGATATCTGCACTCAGTGGTGTCAGCAGATATCTGCACTCAGTGGTGTCAGCAGATATCTGCACTCAGTGGTGTCAGCAGATATCTGCACTCAGTGGTGTCAGCAGATATCTGCACTCAGTGGTGTCAGCAGATATCTGCACTCAGTGGTGTCAGCAGATATCTGCACTCAGTGGTGTCAGCAGATATCTGCACTCAGTGGTGTCAGCAGATATCTGCACTCAGTGGTGTCAGCAGATATCTGCACTCAGTGGTGTCAGCAGATATCTGCACTCAGTGGTGTCAGCAGATATCTGCACTCAGTGGGTGTCAGCAGATATCTGCACTCAGTGGTGTCAGCAGATATCTGCACTCAGTGGTGTCAGTGGTGTCAGCAGATATCTGCACTCAGTGGTGTCAGCAGATATCTGCACTCAGTGGTGTCAGCAGATATCTGCACTCAGTGGTGTCAGCAGATATCTGCACTCAGTGGTGTCAGCAGATATCTGCACTCAGTGGTGTCAGCAGATATCTGCACTCAGTGGTGTCAGCAGATATCTGCACTCAGTGGTGTCAGCAGATATCTGCACTCAGTGGTGTCAGCAGATATCTGCACTCAGTGGTGTCAGCAGATATCTGCACTCAGTGGTGTCAGCAGATATCTGCACTCAGTGGTGTCAGCAGATATCTGCACTCAGTGGTGTCAGCAGATATCTGCACTCAGTGGTGTCAGCA